CATAGGTAATGACTCTTACATGACTTATTTCATCTTGATGAAAGTTTAAACATTAGGTAAGTCTCTTTCAGAGTCTTCCTTTTCAAATCTATCAGTCAATCATCACAGTGATAGAGAGCTCCAGGAAATTGAAAAGATATTAAACATGGTTTTTGTGATCAAGACCCATAATCCAATTAAGAGAATAAAACGTGTTTTCATGAAAAGTTACATTTTCATGAACAGTACAAGGTAATACACTCTGACTCAGAAAAGACCAGGAAGACCTTAGTCTAAAGTGATTAGGACTGGGTAATGTGAATAGATGAGATGGGGTCTGTGTCTTAAAAATTAGCCCTGATTGAATCAATGGCATAGAGGAGGGTAGATAGCCACAGAATTACAGTACAGGTAGCATGGCTTGGCAGGCAAATTTCCACACAACAGATGGCTGCTCTAAGAATTCATCTATTCATTTATTAATCCAGTAGTCCAATAAATTTTTTACTGAATGCATTTAATATACTAGACAACATGCTGAGTGGGTACAGGGAATACAAGTGTGAACCAAATAGAAATAACCCAGCCCTTAGGGACCTTACATTTTAGTGGAGAAGACAGAAGCTAAACAAGTTTGCTAATTAATAAATTACATATTGTGTTAACTGTCAGAAAGGAAAGAAGCAGAGTTCTATATGACTGGGCCGTTGGGAGGCATGTCACAAGGAGAGCGAGGAGAAGAGTATTCCAGGAGAGGGAACAGCATACGCGAAGCCTCTGTGGTGCAAAGACCCCAGTGTCTGACAGTAACAGTAGACTGGTGTGACTGCAGGTCATAAGGACAAACAGGGATTAAAGGAGCACAAAGTGAGATTGCAGTGTTGGGCACAGCCCAGACCTTCCGTGGGGTTGGGTCTTGTACAACATGCTAAGGAGCTTGGTTTTTATTCTGAGTAATTGGAACACACTGGAGTATTTTAAGCCAGAAAGTGACATAATGAAATTATGTTTAAGGAAATCACTTACGCTGAAGTCAAGAAACCAATTATGTGATTCCTGCCAACTTCCAGAAGAGAGATGCTGACTTTTTAGGTGGTTTTCAGAAAAAAGGACATTATTTTGGTGTTAGAAGGGATCCTTGACAACATTCCAAGGGAAGATTCACTCATTTTTATTCTTATGGGAAATATCTATGTCTGTAGGCACAGAGAGGGAGCAGTGGGGAGGGAGAATTGTGAGATAAAAGAGGCACAAAAGGAAAAATTAAAAGAATAAAATCCTGAAGGGCACAGAGATGCCAATTGGAAGGGGTAGCCCCAGAAAAGAGGATCCTTCTTACTCTGAGATAGTTGGGAGGAAGATAGATATCCGGCTGAGGGGAGAAAGCATGAGTCTGTGGTGCATCCAGGAAGCAGAATGTCATGACTGTTGTGTTCCAGGACACTCATCCATTTCTTATCTGGCACTCAACTGGCCTTTGATGAGGTAGAAAGGCTCATTGTTGTCCCAGAAGAAGGTGTCAGAATATGCTAAAGGTCAGTGGACCAGGACCATCAAGAATTTGAAGAGGGCGATATAATCAGATGGTGAGGATTGAAAAGGTAAGGGATTGTGAAGGAACTGTGGTGGGATAACCTTCTAGAAGCACAGAGGAGAGCAGAGAGCTTGACAGCTCAACTCCTCTCCATTCCCAGTGTGTCCAGAAATATGGAAAGGAGATGTTCCATAAGAGAGAAGCTCCAAAAAGTGAAGTCAGCATGGCCTGGCCAGGGGTAGATGGGGAGAGGAGCCCAGAACCAGAAATGGTAGACCTGACTCAAGGCGGAGCGTCTAAGACCAAGTCCAGACTCTTTCCACGAGGAGAAAACCATGGTAAGAGCTTTTGCCCGGAGCAGTTATTGCAAGTACCAGGATCAAGTGAGCATGGAGATTTGCAAATAAAGTAGCATTAGCTTGAGGGGTCTTATGAGTAATAATGGAGAATTTAGCTACCGGAGTTTATGAAACTGACCGATCCTAAATTCCCTTTTGAAAATTGCCATAATTGCCTCAATACGACTCTGACTTGGGTATCAGTTCGTCTCATTCTGGCAAGAAAAAAAAGTAAGCCAAACAAGATAGGGGCTCCAAAATTGTGCTCCCAGTGCTGGGCTGTTTATTTTTACCAACACTTGGATTCTTCTGAGCTCTCTCTCTCTCTCACCAATTTTTCAAGCCCTATTTCTTCCCATTTCTGTCCCCAACTTTCCTATTCCCTAACAAACTGGAACTAGCACATCTCTCTGGAGAGAAGCCAGGTCCCCACGTCCTCATTGCGGGACGGCTGTTTTAGAAAAATAGCACATCTGTGACTTGATTACATTTCATGGCCCTGAAACCACAGTGATTTGTGGGCAAAGGGGTTTTACTACAGCTTTAGCTGATGATCACTCTCGGTAAGGGGGAAATAAATTGGCTCAATAAAGATTTTTGAGCAAAATATCTTGCTGGGAGAATCCAGGCTTGACATTAAGGAAATAGCAGCTTAGGTCCACAACTCACCAATCGGGACATCTCCTCAAAGGCTCCAGTTAAGGGATTTGTAGAGTCAGGGTACCGTTTCAGTTCTAGTTTATAATGTCTTTTAATCTTCTGCAGCGTCTTTGGAACTTAGTCATTCTTATAACAACGCTATTTCATCTAGTCTAAAAATGTGGCTTTTCTCACATGTTACAAGATGGGTACAAATCAGAATGCCATACAGGCTGTGTAGTGGTTCCGGCAGTGTGTGGCTCTATTAAGGAGAGTCAATTTAGTACTGGAAAAAGGAAAGGACCAAATTAGAATCGCGGCTGGCAGAAATAGTCTCCCATCTGGCACTGTAATTACATGCTACCTTGACCTGCAGCAGTCCTTGCTGTTTCGAGCACTAAGATCCCTTTCAGGGGGTGGAGGGGAAAGACACAAGATTTGGAAAAGATGTTGTTGAGAACATCCTCTTTCTCTTTTGGAGAAATAAGCTGTATAAAAATTTATTTCCATATGGCTCTCTCTTTTATAGTGAAATGAAACTTCCAGTCACTAAATGAATGTGACCACTTTATGGCCGGCATAAACAGACAAGGTCTGTATGCTTATTTTTGCTCATGACATCAGACGTTATTTCAGCCGGGACACTGTTTCAGTACCCTCTCTGGCGACCTCGTTCCTGAGCTTTTTTTTCAAAGGGTCAGTCTTAGTTGCTGCTGACATGCGGCATTTTCAAAGACTCAAAGTGGTCTTTATTACAACCCTTGACTTCACCTTCTATGCCAACAGGAAATTTTATACAACTCTGATCTCTCCCATTGTAACAGTGCCAGGAAGTGGTGCTCTGGCGTGGTTTGAGACTGCCATCTACTGGCCAAATATATTCTGGTCCCCTTCTTTTATTTTTTTCTGTTCTAAGACTTAGCATTTTCTCTAATCCATAAAGATTTATCTTTTATCTTTCTCCTTAAAGCCACAACAGCTCGGACTTATAATTAAATAAAATCACCATTTGGATCTCGGCTAGTCAAAATCTGCAATATCTTGCCACTTAGGGGTGAAATCATTGAGGCAAGACACAAGCCCTGTTTTTACGGTCAAATGCAAGACTGTGCTACCATCAGTCTTTTCTCAGGCCCTGCCCCAGCATTCGTCCAGACCAGCTAACGACCAAGGCCTTCCCTCTGCCATTTTGTCTCGGCCTCCATATTGTCCCAACCATGACTGGATCCTGAATGAAACTTTAATTCACCTCAAAGGGCTGTGCATTCACAGGCAACCAAATAAACGGATCGCTTTTAAACAGAAATGACACTGATTGCCACTAAATATAACGAGTGCCTTATGTACATTTCATCGGAACCACAAGCTCAAATTAGCCTGTCAGAATTTCGCGATGCCTGATGCCAGCGTGTCAAGTGACACAATTAGCTCAAGAGAATAAAGAAAAGGCTTGTCATAGCCCTCATCCCGTCTCTTCTCTGAGTTCCATCCCCTGATTTAGTTCAAATTCTTTTCACACTTGAAGTGTGCTTGCGTATGTGTGTGTGTGCGTATATGTGTGCGTGTGTGTGTTACCCTTCAAACTTCAAAACAATCACACAGTGAAGAGTTAGGGTAAATCAGTATATTTTTTATAAAAGCCCAAATGCTTTCTTTTCCCTTTTACTTCCCTTCTGAAAATGAGAACTTATCAAGGGCCAAATCCCAGCCCTTTGGGAGAAAAACAAAGTGTGCTGAAAAGAAAGATGTAAAATTCACATTGAACCTGGAAAGATCAAAGCTTTAGGAATACTGACCCAGCATGACTAAACAGCACCAAATGCGAGGGCTGCAGGACTACCAAGAGTCAGCACTTCTCAGATGGACAGAGAACAGCAATAAGTTTGTATTTAATGCTGAATCAGAAGAAGGGTCCCTTTGGTGCCATGTCCTGCCTCCAGCAGCAGTGAGGATGACACTGGATCCTTTGGAAAAAAGCTGCAACACGTATGACTCGCAAAGGAACGGCTGGAGCAGACTAACCCAAAAGAGCTGGGGAACGTTTCCCAAAAATGCACATTCTCTCCCGCAACGAGATTTAGGATTGTTTCACATTCTAATCCCAAGGAATGTGAAGAGAGCTCTTTAAATGTGGGAGGAATGTGCCCCAAAGATGCACCTGCCACAGAATCACACAGACTTGAATGAGCTCTGCACCACTTTTTACCAGCCTCAAGGCCACGGCAGGGGAGTCCATGCGTTCCAGAAAGCCGGGCAATCCCACCCAACCTGCCCTGAGACTGAGAGGAGGGGAGGCAGAGACCAAGCCCGGGCCTCTGCCCTGGGAGTCAGCATAAGGGAGGCACATGCCTCAAGGGCTTAAAACATAAATTTTCTATCAGCAAATTATGAAGACTTCCCCTTTTGTCTCTAAAGGCTGCTTCTCCCAGGCTGTGTCAGTCAGAGTTCTCCAGAGAAACAGAACCAGTAGGAGAGAGAGAGACAGAGAGAGAGACTTATTCTTGGCTTACAGGATTGTGGGGTTTGGCAAGTTCAAAGTCCATGGGGCAGGTCGGCAGGCTGGACACTCAGGCAGGAGCTGCCATTGCCGCCTTGAGGCTGGATTCCTTCCTTCTCCAGGAAACCTGTTTTCACTCTTCAGGCCTTCAACTGATTGGATGAGGCCCACCTGCATAACGGGAGGTAATGTGCCTTACTTAACTTCAAATGACTCTAAATATTCATCACTTCTACAGAATACTCTCACAGCAACATCCAGACTGCTGTGTGACCAAACCACCAGGCATCACAGCGCAGAAGCGGACATGTAAAGTTAACCACCACACATGGCATCCAAGACCACTCCAGGTGCTTCCCCTTCTAGTTACCTACACACTAAATATAAAGCTATGCCTCCCTCATATCATTTAAGATTCTATAATATTTAAATCCTGGTTTACAATATAACTAAGTCCATTCTGTGATTTTTTTTTCTCCCCAGACTTTCAACCTTCCCAGTCTGTCTTTCTTACCTCACATCCAGCTTTGGGAGAGTTGGCACTCCTTCCACATGTCTGAGAGGTCAGTTGTCCTTCTTAGTAAGGCCAAGAGGCTCAAGTGTCTGCCTGCCCGGAGAAGCTGCCCAGGAGAGCACAATGCAGGGCCGCAAGTGGGCTCTCCGCCTTGGGTCAAATACTCGCAGCCAATGGTGTGCATGACCCCTCCACCCTCAGGGCCTGGCTCTCTTCCTCACCACTTCCAAACCAGCCAGCCAAACACGCCACTGTGGCCAATGACATACTAGTGTCTGAATATAGAATCTGAATAGAAATCAACAGGTACAACCTGGTCTGCTTGTTTGGTTTTCTTTTTTTTTAATTCCCAAGAGAGAGAGAAAAAAAATGTGAGCCAGCCCTGATGGCCTAGTGGTTAAAGCTTGGTGTTTTCACTCCTTCGGTGTCCACATTCATTTCCCGGTCACGGAACCACACCACCCATCTGTCAGTAGCCATGCTATGATAATGGCTCATATAGAAGAACCAGAAGAAACTACATCTATACACAACTATGTACTGGGGGCTTTTGGACGGAAAAAGAAGAAGAAAGGAGGAAGATTGGCAACAGACGTTAGCTTAGGGTGAATCTTCCCCTGCAGAAAAAGTCAATAAAATAAATAAATGTATCAGTCTCCCCAAATGTCTCTCACCCATCACTGTGGAAAGGGCCCCCTTAGCGTCTGGGATCCTGAGCTCTGATGATGGCAGGTGGCCCAGGTAGCAGGCTTGGCTGGGCCTGCCCACAGGCAGCATGAGCACCCCACTGTGAGATCTCCACTTCAGGGATCACAGATTTGCCCTCTGTACCATTTCAACCCAACGCCACGGGCAGACCACAGGAAAGCCTTTGCTGCAGGGTCTCAATCTCCTGGCCTATGGGGGCTGCCACACCCCTGCAGGAGAGAACAGAGTGACAGAAGTTCCAACCACACAAGGATGCAGAGCCCACAGGCTGAACCAGCCCAAAAGGGACAGAAGACAAGCTGGGCTGTGGCAAGCAGAGGGACAAGTGGTGCAGCCCACTGTAGCTTACACCGGAGAGGTGCCACCCACAGACCTCGTCCCCAAGGCTTCTCAGAGGACACCTGGTATGGTCTCAATAACCCATCGCTATCAGAGGTGCTACAGGAGATTGGCCAATGAGAGAGGATGCCCCTCCTCCCTCACCCCTAGCCAGGACAGAGTGCGGGGTGACCACGCCTACACTGACATTCCCACTCACACAGCAGGTGCTTTTTAAAGGATTTATGGGGGGGTGGCATCATGAGACCAAAATCCAAGCGGTGTAGTTAATGCTCTTCTGGAATCACACAGCCGGTCGGGAGGCAACAACAGCAGTGGTTGGATGCTGTCATCCTTCCGGCTTAAAGACCACGGTCTGCAGGCCCATCTGGATGTGGCGAGCCAGGGGTTAGTGACAAGCATTGCTCAAAGCACTAACAAAATAAATAAACACTGAAATTTTGTACAAACAAGATTAGTTGTGCATACTGGATTAAAGATAAAGAACCATGAGAGTAGCATGTCCGAACAGGAAGGAACAAAGACTTCAGAATTCCTGACTTGCTCCTAGGGACAAAGTAGTACCAACAGCCAACCAGGACATGAGAACCGCTGTCCGTGAACAGTCTGGGTGGGAGACCAGCATCACGAAGAGCAGTCATGATGGCAACTGTGGAGCTTAAGGCTGAGCAGACTGTGGGTCTAACCTCCAGAAAGCAAATCACTCTAGTTAGTAAAATGGGCGTTATGCCATAAAATTTTTAAAATAATTATTATTTTTTACTTGGGGGTAGATAGACCATATTCTCTAGCATATTTCTTTCTTTATGATTTTTATTTTTGATTTGTATTTCTCACAGCTTTGTTGAGATGTATTTAACATAGAGTCTGCTACACATATTTAAAGTGTATAATCTGATAATTTTGACAAGTTTATACACCACAATCAAGGTTGTAAATATAAATACATATGAATATACATATATGTACATAAAGTTTCTTTCTGTTCCTTTAAAATCCTTCCTTCCTGCCCCTCCCACTTGACCTCCATCCCCAAGAACCACTGATCTGTTTTCTGTCCTTATAGACGAGTTTGCATTTATAGAATTTTATATACGTGAAATCATGCAGTCTGTACCTTTCTTTGTTCTATTTCTGTCACTGGCCATCCTTCTTTTGGAATTCATTCATTTCTAGCCCGTATCCATAGTCTAGTCGTTTTCCTTGTAAGGAAGCATTCCATTGTATGGATATGCCACATTTTGTTTATCCATTCATCTACTGATGGACGCTTGGGTTTTTTCCCAGTTTGGGACTATTGCAGATGAAACTGCCAAGAACACTTGTGTACAAATCTTTGCACAAACATGAGCTTTCATTTCTCTAGAGTCAATACCTAAGAGTAGGATCCGTGGCTCCCATGGAAGGTGTACGTTAAAGTTTTTGAAAAACTGCCAAACTCTTTTTCAAAGTGACTGTAGCATTCCTACAGTCGCACCAGCAGTGTGTGAGTTCCAGATCCTCACATCTCTGTCAACACTGTGTGGTCATTCTTTTTACTGTAAGATGTCCCAGTAGGTGTGTCTCATGGTGGTTTTATTTTGCATTTCCCTGAAGTCTAGCAGTGCTAAGCATGTTTTCGTGTGTTTATTTGCCATGGTTTCATTGATTTTTCTCATTGATCAATGTCATAATCAACCATTAATAACATTTTTGGCATTACTATCACAATTTGTCATTTGTTTGGCATAGATGCTCAACGTGCGGCTTTCTTGCTATCTTTACCATTTACTTGTGAAACACACAGCATGTTATTAATAGTCAATCAATTGTAAGACAACTCTTCTAGATAAAAATGAACCAAAATAAATGTTTAGAGTTTTATATCCAAATCCATTTGAGAGATAAACTTTTCATACATCAATTTATCACAGAAAAATTTGTGCTTTCATTTAGGAAATAAATTTATTTTCTCACAAGAGTCAATTTAAATTTAATAAGCATTATTTTTAAATCACTTGGACAAAGCATTCAGCAGCTCTTATATTGCACCTAACTTTAAAACTTTTTAAGTATAATTTCCAAGCTCAAGGGTTTTTAATGCAGATTTTTAAAAAAATACTTTTCTGCCAATATTTATACTTTACCTCACTTATATATATAACTGTCACTTTTACAATATTTAAACTTTCCATTCTTACTACTCTTGTTACTATCATAGTTTTTGAAGGCTAATTTTATCAGTGTAAAAGAATAAATAAGAAATTTCATTGGCTAAGTATTTGAATATGTGTATCCCACGTATATATGTGTTTGGATATGTGAAAGAAAGGGAAATAAAAAGGAAGTTATCTTTCCTTTTAAAAATTTGATTATAAATATGTAAATTCAGTAAAGTAGACATTACACGTTTGGAATTCTCTACTAGTACACTATACAAAAAAAATACATTTTTCCTAGCCATATAAAAGGTCAAATAAACACTCATAATTGCAAAACATCTCAGTTATGCCAACAATCTAACAAGCAATAAATATTCACATTTCCGCAATATGCCTTTTGGCTTCTCATCTGTCAGCTATTAGTCCTCTCCTCTAATCACACTGCTTAAAAATAAAGTTAGTATTGAGAAGCTCTTAAGATGTCCCTTGGCTACAGCTAAATATTTTCCTTATAATAATGCAAAATTTTCTGGCAAAGTTGAGAAACGAACTGTTCACAAATGAAATACAATGAAGTCTTCACAGGAAAACATTAAGGCAGTGAAAACAAAGAGAATTAGAGAAAACGATGAAAAGCAAATAATGTGTCAGAAATTGAAGAAAGAATTTAGTTAGGTAAAAATGAATCTGTGGGAGGAGAAACATAAGAAGAAAAGGGTCCAGGTATATTTTGAAAGTTAGGCAAATACTAACAATTAAACAGAATTTCCATTGCCCCATTCTTAAGTTAAAGGACCAGCCCAGCCCACAGCCTGTGCAGAGCCATTTGTCACACAGATCTACGAGACGCCAATTCTCTATGTGTGATTTGTCTTCCCATGACCAAATCCGTTGGGGGCACCCAATGAACCATTTTTTTTTTCTAGAATTTACCAAAGGCATATGATGACAAGACAGTTTCCCCCAAACCTAAGAAAATAAAAGGCACAAAGAATATACCCGCAACCGAATACTAAGTACATGTAAATGAAACATGGAAATATTACAATAAATGCTTGAAGTGACATTAGTATGCGTCATCATACATACCAAATTGCTTTGTAGACAAATATGCCTGTCTAGTTGAGGGAACAGAATACATTTTTTTTTTTTTTGCCATCAGGTTAAATAATTAACAGACATAATTAATATTTTGATAGAACAAGCAAAATTCCTTTAAAACACTAGCATTCTCTGAAGATCATCAAGGAAGTAAATCCGCTATTGTCTTTAATCACTTATTTTTAAATAGCTGGAGCCAATTTTCCTGGTCATATTTCATTTAATCGCATTTTTTTCTTTTGGCTTCAACTCAGAAATACAGAAAGCTTAAGTCTTAATTTCTTGACCTTGTAAGCTGAAGATCAAATTTTGTCTAATTCTGCTTGAGATTTTTGCCCAAGTCCTTTTTTTAAAATTGTGGCAAATTTGCAAAATATTAGAAAAGAATAAAGAAAAACATTCATCTATAAGCTCTCTCTGAGAGCTGTGAGTTTTACTTTGCCAATTATTACATAATCCTCTAAAACATGATTTTCAGTTGCTTTGCTACATTCTATTGTATGAAAAAAGATTCACCTAATACATCTCTTCTTAAAAAACAACACACGGTATTTAACATCATCCTTGCAATGTATGTATGCCCATCTCTCATCATTTCCAAAAGAGAAATTCCTAAAAGTTAACTTACAGAGTCAAAACTGTGCACACTGTTTAAGCTTTGAATATGCATTGTAAATTGCTCTCCAAAATATTTGTACTAATTTACAAGGTTACCAGCAACATTTGGCATACTCTTTTTAAGCACCTTACTGGTTTGCTTAACAGAGTATCATATATACTATATCTGCTATAGCTCGAAGCTAAATGTATTTGTATCCACACCTGGAATGGCAAATGCATATGGCATGTGCCATTCACCATCCCACCCGTGCACCAAGGGGGACATTTCTAATCAAGCATAAGCAAAGTTCTTTGTGTTGAAGTTGGACTCACCTTCAAAACTTTTCTCAAGATAGTTCTCCAGACAGCCACTCCCAATGGATAAGAGCTGGTGCTCAAGACATCTACCTAGACTGCGCTCTCTGGCACTTTACTGTAATATTTGCGGCTTCCTGCTTGAGGGACATCACCTGGTTGAGACAGACAGACAGACAGACTACTCTATTTGCATACAAATGTACATATATTACTCTACTGTATGTATTATATTAATTATATGCATCCATGTATATTCATTAGTATTTGTATATATGCATGCATAATTATTCAATTATGAAGCATCCAAGACTAATGTTCTGGCATGACCTACCA